CAAATAAAACAAGACCACATTTGTGGTATTGAAGCCATGCAGTCTTTGTAGATAAGAATTCAAAGAAAATGTTTTTCTTAATTGAATTTCAAAAAAAAATTCTTAAGCTGTTGAATTACAAAAACACTGCTTGATTTCAGCAATTCTTTTTCATTTATTTTTTGTCAGGAACGATGTGACTGGCATACCTATTTAAATTGCACTTTGCCTGCAGCATTATGTGGTAGAATTGAAACTTGTGTTTCTATTCAACAAGACTCAGTTTGATGTGGGGTATTCCAAGCTGTGTTGTAAATGGAAAAACAAGCTGCACACTAATGTTTAAGGCCAATATTTTTCCATTATGACAGGTCCCATCATTTGTGCTGACACTTACAAAACAAATGCAATCCCATTTACAATTGGAGTGGTTCGTAGGCCCAAGGTTTCACTGGCCATGTCAATCATTTTTCTTCTTTAAATAGGAGCTTTTTTTTAGCACAATGCAGTCTTACAGGCTGCAGCCCCTGTTTGGTACTTAAAGAAAATGTAGCAATATTGTTTTCCATGGCAAACAAATCAAAATTGTTCCGATGAAATACAACAATATGAAATATTCAATAATTCTTTATTTGTTTATTCAAACTATGATGAGGGCAAAGTTAAAATGAGCAAAAGGGAGGTAGGATGAAGGGTGGAAAAGAGAAAGTTATTGCTTTGGTATCTGGTTTTCGAACTGGTCTCATGTTTTAAATAGTGGGATGAAGTGGTGATCAATCTGTTTTTAGCTTGTGAACATTAGCATTGGAACCTGTCACTTCAATTTCGCTGGTATGATGGGAGAATTGTATTTTTGCTGTTTGTCTGTACTCCTAAGTGAAGATAATAATAATAATCCTTGCATTTGATATAGCGCCTTATCACATTGTCAGATTGATGAAAGAGAACATGAATTATTATAAAGAAAGGAAGAAAGCTTCTGAATAACAGGTCAATTCGTTTAAAAACAACATCTCGGAGTGCTTTACAGAGATGGTGCTGGACACCAATCAGGAGGGAGGGGAGAAAGGAGATGACTAGCACGGTTGAAGAGGTAATTTCAGACCATTGTCGCTGTAACTTCTTGAAAAAGGATGAAAATATTATGTTGCTTTTAAAACAATTTTTTTTGAAAATATATATATTTTATAAATATAATATTTAGTACAACAGAAATCCCAAACAAATATCTTCTGTTACAATTTTTTTCCTTTCTCCTGATACAAAAAAATTCCATTGTTTATGGTTCATTCCTTCACCACACATAGGTTATGCACACGTATTTTGGGGCGCTCCCTTTAACACAGTCAGGAGTCGCCCCTGTGTACACTACATCCATGAGCGCGCCCGCACACACCCTGGTAAGGTGCATTTGCCGCTTTCAAAAGGCGCCCTGATGTGCACCGTATGCGTACATGTTTTATCGTACATACATTTTCGGGATGCTCTTTGGTTTACATCTCGTGTCCTTCTGTAGTCTTACTTCAGTCAGTTTTGGGTGTGCTCGTGGGCTTTGGTAAAGTGGAAAAAACCTGTGATAAGCTAATCTAAAATTGAATGAATAATTGTTAGAAGCATTATATACTGCAGCCTTATTTCACTTGGTGTGCACAATCCATAAAATCCCACCTGCATGATAGCGAGTTATGCTGTTATAGTGCACATGCACGCAACTAAGTGGTGCGCAGAGGCCACCGACTGTTTCCCAAGCTAAAATAAAATAATGACCACCATCTGGGTCACTGCAATATTGCTTCCTGTTTTCTCTGTATGCCGAAAATGGGAAATTATATCAGTGATGACTTGATGACCTGGAAGTCGCCTTTTTTGTGCACAAAGCTAAAAGGACCAACTGCCAAGTCACCAATGCCACTTCCTGCTTTGTGCAATGAACCGGAATGTGGCCATTTTAATGAGAAAAGGTGGCCAGTGCGTAAGAGACAAGTGGGTCAGATGTTTGCATGCACAATAAATGGGTCTACAGTGCAACTGTGTTAAAAGGAGTACAGTAAAACTCAGATAAGTCTTATCTTTCTAAATTGTATAATCACCTAAGTCATACATTCACCCAATTCCCATTCAGTTTTTCAGTGTCCTATCAAAACCACTTGAATTTCTTTGCAATACTCAGATGAATCACCTCCAAATTCATAACGACGCTCCTCTACCTTCCATTACTCCCGCACTTACTGGCTGCATTGAGTCACGGAAAATGACGTCCTGACCCATTGATGCATGCATGGCTTGCCAGCTGCATTGAATCACAGTTTTACTGTTTGTGTTATTGTGCAACATTACCATGAGACTGGTGTATTTGTTTATGTGATTTTGAAATTTACACAAAGAGCATAGTTGTTGTTCGCTTAAAGGTGTTGCAGATTTAATGCAAATACAAGGTCTGTTGTCACATGTACAACTAAAAGCTGCAAAACCCACTCACAGCTTCAAGGCACGTTCAAAATGACTCAATCATTAGCTTCTTGACTTGTCAACCAATGATGTTAAGACAAACATTTTTCCTCTCGCTGATCTTCAGGAATCCATGGAAAAGTTTGAGTAGAACAGATTATGTCAATAGACTAAATCTGTATATTTGATCTTTCAAAACTTTGAATTTTTTAAAATAAAAATTGAATGAAATTTTTTTATTACTATTACATGTCATAAAAGGTCATTGCCTAGTTTAAGTACAGTAAAACTCAAAAGTCGTATCAGTCGGGACTATAACATTTAATGACTTGTGCGAAATCCAAGACCAGGGAAACACCGATTATATGCAGCATAAAATCCGATTTAATCAATAATCTGCACTCTGCGTGTGTAATTCAGTGCAGTTGGTAACAGTGCATGGAGTATTTTGTCACTGCAGCCGGTAAATGCGATGACAGATCAAGACTACATTTTCACAATTCAATGCACCTCGACCGGGAAATGTGTACTTATCTGCAAGTATTGGAATTGCATTGAATCGCGGGAAATTAAGTTCTTCTGTGCTTTGGAGCATCAGCCTAGACTATGAATTCAAAGTCCTGACATAAGACTGGAACCTACAATCTTTTGACTCCGGGAAGAGACTGGATGCAACTGAGCCAAACTGATATGTTTAGATGCACAGTAAGATGCTTTTGTTTGGACAAGCATTGTTCAATGCAAAACAGTCACACAGAAAGGATCTTCTTTCTGATCTTTTTGCATCTTGGAAGCCGGTGCATATTGGGCACCTATATTTAAGTGGAATAAATTTGCTTGAGTATTCCACCAGATATATTAGTCCCCACTTGCAATTGATATTCTATGTTTGAATATTTTCAACACCTTTTTTATTCTTGGCTGAAAATGAGTCCCATATTAACACATTTAGCATTAGTGGTGCCTGGTGAGTTTTTTGGCAGGTGAGGTAATCTGAGTTTGCCTAACCAAATTATCTTGTTATCATTTGCAACGGGCATTTTGTGCACGTGCAGTGTCTTGGTTGTTCACCCTCTTGCCTTGCTCCCTCGCAATGCTTGCAGCGAGACATGGAAATTATAATACTAGAAATACTCTTCAGGAACTGGAGATCAAATGACTTGTCATAAAGGACATCTTTGCCCGTATGATTTCCTTATGATGTGATACAAGTTTGGCTCAACATAGAGGTGTGTGGAGGTTGGAAAGATGAATAAAATCATACAAAGCAGGTCATCTTTTCAGGCTACAATCTGAATTCAATCGAATTCAAGATCCTCATCCTCACCTACAAGGCCATTCAGGGCCTTGCTCCCTCCTACCTCTCTGACCTACTATCCCCCTACTTACCTGCCCGTACCCTCCATTCCTCTGGCTCTGGTCTGCTCCACATCCCCCGCCCCAACCGCCCTACCATCGGTGGTCGGGCCTTCAGCCTCTCAGCCCTTAGGCTCTGGAACTCTATCCCCCAGTGCCTTCGCCTTGCCTCCTCCCTTTCCTCCTTCAAGGCCGGTCTCAAGACCTTTCTCTTTGACCGTGCCTTCAGCTCCCCTCTCGACTCTCTACCCCCTCCTCGCTCCCTCCCTTCCCTCCCCTCACCCTGACCACTTACCCCCTGCTCGGGTCCTGACCCAACTGTACAGCGCCTTGGGACGTCCTCCCGACGTGAAACACACTCTATAAATGGAATCTTGTTGTTGTTGTTGAATACGTGAAACAGGGTATAAAGAGAGAATTTGCATTCTGGTAACCAGAGAGTGCTATTTTGAGTGAATTAGTAATGAGGCAAAAGTAACGAGTACAAAAAGTTCTGAGGTGAAGGGAGCATGGAACCATCTGAGAACATATTCTGATTGATTGAGATTCCCTGCTGAGAACTTGTGGTTTTTCACAAATGTTCAAAATTGTATTTGTTTCTGCTTTGTATTTAAGAAATATTTGCTAGATTAATCATTTAAATGGATGAAGACTTGTAGTTGCCTTATTCATAAGTGTTATTCTTATTGCTTGCCAGTCACAATGGCTATATTGGCAGGATTTCAAAGGCCAGGTTCAAGTATTTGTCTCAGCTCTAAATTCCAAACCTGCCACTGAAACCAGCAAACAGCAGAGGGCGTTGAGAGTTAAAACCAGTCAAAGAGTTTTTGTGTTGCAGCCTTTCAAATTGTAAAATATGCCAAAGGTGGTAAGCTTAATTGGAAGTCCAGAAACCTCGTGTTAACATTAACCAAAACCTTATGAGGGTACTCTGAGCTCATAGTAAGGTATAAAATAAAGTGATTTTTTAAAAAAATTGCAATTTGCATTTTTGTGCACTTTTTGACTCAAATCCGTACTTGGAGACCCTGATTATTTGGTATTGATGATTTGCAGTATGCAGAATCCTTCAGTATATTTGTGGTATATTTTTAATTTATTAGATCTGCTTAGTTCGAGTGTCTACGTGATAAAATGCTTCTTTCTCAAAATGGCTGTATGAACTTCATTTGATTTGGACAAAGAATTAAGACACCTTTGTTCCATTTGTCTTTCAGAAGCTTGCAGTAAGAAGTTGTCCTGTTGGGAGCACGAAACCTATTCCACTCATCAAGGCACCCAACCAGAGCATAGCAATTTCCGTGGTGCCATCTAAGAATCCCATCACCATGGTAACTGCACACATTAATGGACAGAAGGCAACCAGCACAGACCCTCCACAGATGGCCCCAATCAACCTCCAAACAACAAACAAACTGGTGGGAAGCAGTTTGAACTCTGTTGGAAGGAGAATATCAGAGTCTTCAAACTCGCAGGTATGTCTGGTTGGGGAGAGCATTCTGACTTATTGAAAAGCAAGGAACTTTTTAAAACAATAACTTGCATTTATATAGCGCCTACAAGCTGGTAATGTCATGGAGAGCTGAACTATCGCCGAGCCGGAAGGTGGGCGGGAAGGTGAATGAAGGCACAGTCGAAGAGAAATCCTCAGGTGTGATTTGAAGATAGTCAGAGAGGGCGCAAGATGGAGGAATTGAGGCAAGAAGTTCCAGAGATTCAGGGCATAGTGGCTGAAAGCATGGCCGCTAATTGTGGCGCAGAAGGCCTGACTGCCAATGGTAGGACGGACAGGGTAGGGGACAAGGAGCAGGCTGCCAAGTGGAGGGAGTGGACAGGCTGGTATGGTATTAATAGGTCACAGAGGTAAGGGGAGCATATCCGTAAAAGTCTTTAAAAGTGAGGACGAGGGTTTTAAATTTGATCCTCTGAGGGATGGGGAGCCAGTGGAGCTGGACAAGGGTCGGGGTGATTGGTTCAGGGAGCATGGTACGGGAGTAGGCACGAGCTGCAGAGTTCTGAATAATCTGCAACTTGTGGAGACGAGTTGGCAAGCTGGTGAGCAGGGAGTTGGTGGGGTTGAGACTGGATGTGATGAATACATGAATGAGGGTCTCGGTGGCCGGAGGGGAGAGGCAATGTTTGTGGAGCCTTTATATCAGACAAGTAAGTAATAATAATAATAGTCAGAACATCAACAACAACCTTTATGTATTTCACATTGGGAGGATGTCCCAAGGCGCTGAAACATCACTAAGGACTGGGGTCGCAAAATGCAGTATATGTTTTTGTGTGGTCTTATGTTGGGGGCAGGATGTTCGTGTATAAATAGTCTGATGTTAGTCAACATGCATGTCTTTAAAATTGCCTTTTGTGAAATTGGATACAAAATACAAGAAAAGCTATATAGTGACATCAACCTCATTGTTTCAAATCCATAGAAACTCGCAGGTGAGTTTTTCAATCTCAGTTGAGATTGGAGCTTCCTCTGGGTCCCAAAAATCACAAATCACTTCATATGTTTTTGTCCACAAAATACACAGTCAATTCACTTTACAGTGTATCCTGTGAAGCGCTTTGAGATGTCTTCAAAACGTGATAAAGCACTATATCAAATGCAAGATTATTATTTAGGCTTGCTCTTACCAATTTTAATTGATAAAATTCAGTATTTGTTTTTTTTCTAGTTTCTCCAAATCGAGGAAAATCGATTCCCATCATTAAACATAGTTCTTTTTTGAAATGTTGTAGAATGTTGAACAACAAAACTGACTGACTTCACTGTCGTAAGGTAGTCACAGATGTCACTTACTGCATTGAGTAGGCATTCTCTCAAATATCACTTCCTGAGCATTGTGTTAGTGATGTTAGTGGCGCAGTATCCTGGAAGTAACTTTCAAGGCAATATTATGATCCAGAAGTTGCCAAGTTTTGTTTTTGAAAAAATCGCTAAAACCCGAAAAAAGACCAAGAAGGCAAAATAAAAACCTATTGTCTGTCAAATTTGGCAACCCTATATATAATTCTTTCCAAAATTCTTATTTTCACTGCCTTAGTGAATTCAAAGAGCAGGAAAAGGGAAGACAAAACGAAGACAGTAGTAATACGTACGCTTAACTTATTTCATCTTACCCAGATTTTGAAGACATTCATACGTTCATTGCAAAGCAACAGGGGAGGGGGAAGAATCCTCTCCAGAATCCCCCCATTTTTCAGTTCTGTTTTTGCTGCAGTTGCCTTCAGGAAGTGTTGTCTATCAATTACATTTTATTGGATTTTCGTGGAGTACAAAAGAAACACTAGACAAAACCAAGACGGTAATAACAAACCACTCACTGACAGCAAGAAATTACTCATTCTGGCAAAAGCAGGAGCAGAGTCAATTACTTGTATTAACATTCAATAGAACACTGTACTGTACATCACTCTGAAGGCTGTCAACCTGTTGATTGGGGAGAAGTGGAGTGGGTTAGCAGGGAAAGTGTGTGTATTCTATTTACCCTTAAAATTGCTAATTGATTAACCAGGAAATTCAGCACTATGAGATTTTCTACAAATTGCAAAGACCAGTTACAGATTTGGATTTCTTAAAGATAAGGTTGCAGATATCAATCAATTTGTTTGTTCGAATCAGTTTGTCATAATGAACTTGGCATGTACTGGTTTCATTTCATAAACGTCTGAAAGGAGGTGTGGTTGGAACTGTGTTGCAATGGGAGATGTATAATGGCTTAAGTTTGTTAGAGCAATTGATTTCAATGTTAAAAGTTAAGGATGAGAGACCAGCCCTGAAAAAAATGTTGATGATAATCCTTGCATTTGATATAGCACCATTTGTCTCAACTTTTTCACATAAGAGCTGCCCTTTAAGGGACAGAGGCAGCCTGATGGCCTTCCCTCACACTTTTTCCATTGCCCATCCTGGGACACAATGGGGCAGCTTCCAGTCATAGTATGGTACTTAGGGAAGATGGTGAATCTGGGAAGACTTGTTCAACCAGAAGGGATCATCATAGATGAACCTGTACCAATGTTTACCTGTTTGCACACATGCTGTTTTCAGCAGATGACATTGTATATCAATCAATAGTGGGAACCTAGCTGATTCCACCCCTGCTAACTTTCTTACTCAGAAATGCTGAGGCCAATAAGGCACCCTAAAATAAAATCCAGATTACATAACACCATCTGAAATGCTTCCATAAATATTCATAGCAAACACATAGGGAATGAATGAATCCCAAGGGCAGCATAATATTATAAGATAGCTAAGGAATGACAGATATCCTGCAAAAGTGTTTAGTATCCTTATTCACAAAGTGAACCATATATAGACTGCTATCCCAAAATGACTTGAATTTTCAAGGCTGGATAGTGAAGCATTAATAATAAAATAATTTTCAAATAGAGGTGACAAATGTGCTCAGGGTACTATAAGAGAAAAAAAGAATTGACCTAGATGGATGCCACTTCAAGGTACCGAAAGAAAAGTCTGATGAAATCCTGATGGGCATCTTTAGAAAACAATCAGATGCAGGAGTGTGCTGAAGGGAATAATGAAGCATTCAGATGCATTAATTGGAAGGAGTCGGTATTGATTGATGTGAGAGCAGTCGATGGCTCTTAAAATAATCAATGAACTTGAAGAATTAAGAAGATTTGAATGTTTGGATATCAGCAAAACTTATAATAATAAAAATAAAAACTGGTTCTTTGTCTCCATTTAACTCTAGGCAACTGAACAATTGAGGTATCTACTTCCCATTTTTTTCTTAAAGAAATAAACATTAACATTATTTGGAGGAATGTCATGCACAAATTACACCAATGTTTTATTCTGGTCTTGATCTAAGGGAGGTGGACTGATTACCAGAAGGAAGACTGCAGAAGTAGAAATGGCAGGTATGATGGATGGACTCCAATACTGCCTATGAAATAACACTTAATTTTGTCACCCCTTCTCTGTGCTCATTCATGATATTCAGTCAGTGGATGTTGAAGTACTTTTGAATATTCTATATTTGTACTCATTTTGCTTAAAGTTCATAAATTTAGTTAGCGTCAAATCAAAAGATCAGTGGATGCACATCTTGAAAGTGTACAATATGAAAATTTCAAATGGTCTATCACATCTGCTTATTGCTGATATACCCTTAAACGGTCACCTCTGGTCATATGATTGGACTCAGATTGTTTGTGTCCAAGTGACTTCACAATTTCAAATGAAAGTCATCAGTTTGGACAAGTTTAGATTATGGCTGGTGGCTTGGCTGACTGTTGTGAATGGTCAGCAGGAATTGCCAGGTTTCCGCTGGTTAACTTGAATGAAGAGTATTCTGCCAAATTGGATTCCCTGCTGTTAGTATTACTGTCATAAATATTTCTTCCTGTAACTTGATTACAGTAGTAACTGCAATCATTGTTTTTCCTCAGTCATTGATGGAGAATTCTGGAGTTTGTTCAGATGTTTTGTTACCATTTTGCAATATTTTAAAATTGGTGTCTTGAAATTGAATTTTGACTGATATGAACAATAAAAATGATATGTGCATGTCACAACATTTAAGTCAGTAATATTTCTCTGGAAAAATCTTTATTAATAAACATAGTACTTTACCACTACCTGGAACAGCACGAGAGCATACATGAGTACTTGACCTGAATGCTACAGGTTCAAACTGCGACATTGATAACAGTCAAGGGGACAGCGACTGGAGGTCAATAATTTACCCACGTGTTAGGGAGGGGAAGATCAGACAAGGTTCCCGTATCTGATTAATTCTAGATACTCCTCCTGGAAAGTGCATAACTGAACATCAAATGACAATGGTCTAACTGCAGTTAGATTGCCTGCATTGTTAAATCTCACATGTGAAGAACATAATAATAATATTTGCATTTAATATAGTGTCTTATCATGTCACCATCATCTCAAAGCACTTTCCAGGAATTACTGTGAAGGGCAGTGACTGTGTTGTAGGCGAATGCAACAGCAATGTTGTGCACAATGCTGCCTCACAAACAAACCGGCATGAAGTGAATGCCGATTATATTTGGAAGATTGTTGACCAGGGTACTGGGAGAATCTCTCATATTTTCCAATTATGGAATCTTTTACGCCCACCTGAACAGGCAGACAGGACCTCAGACATTGCAGTGGAGTGTCAGCCTGTACAATATGAGTTTACAATGCGAGTTGGAAATCCGGATGTGATACTTGAACCCACAATTGTCTGACTCAGAAGTGAGAGTGTTACCAACTGAATCAAGTGGAGTTATATCACCATTATTCCATTTTTGGTGTATTCACCAGAAAAGTAATCATATGCTACTGGGAGGAAAGAAATAGAAGTAGAATGATTGGGAACAAAAAGATGACAACATTACAGGATTAGTTTGGATAAAGAATGCCTTTCGGCCCATTACATTTTCAATCTCATTTACAATTTTATACATCTCTATGAGGTGCCCTCTCTGT